GTCAAATTTAACCGAACAAAAAGGATAAAAGTCTGAAAGTTAAATGCTTTGTCCACAAATCTGCCATTAAACCCACTCTTAAAGTTTTACGATGCCGTTTCCACCCTGTATAAACGAAACAGTCTGACAGCTCAACTGTCACAACACAGCAAAGTGTGCAGACCAAACCCGTTACTGAAAGCTGGGCAATGGCAGCGAGGCCCAGCAGGGCTATCAAAGGGACCGCACCTCACACCAGCGAGCTTCAGGTCAGCCACTCACACGCACTGCAAATATAAAAGAAAAACCACAAACTTACCCACACAGAACAGAAATAACTGCAAAATCTAACGGCTAAAAATAAGATCCCCAAACGCTGCTGCCAAATAAAGACGAGTTTCCACACATGTAGCAGCGGTGCACAGTTCCACACTCACAGCGGAGATCACCTCACATCCAGCAAAAGGAACTGATACTGATACTAGAAAAACATATTTACAAAGGAGGGGACGTGTTGGTAGAGTTTTCCGCAGGATACAGCTCATCTCACGAACGCTAAAGTACCTGCTACGCATCGACCGACGTGTACAGGAGAGACTAAGTGAAAAGTTGGGAAAACAGGAAAATAGATGAATTAAATAATCTGATTAATTTGACGTCACACATTATTTTTCCCTCCTGTTATCCTTCAAAATGCAGGAAAATCTTTGCAAGCGTATTTACAGTATCCTGCTGATTGCACAACATCATTATATCACTGTAACTGTGTTTTTCAACGAATCCCTCCCCACATGCACCGAGCAGCTGCTGAATGGTTGTGTATGACTCTCCGGGGATGTGGCCAACTTTAAGTTAAGTCATGTGAAGTCAGAACTCTCACAGCGTGGTTTCCACACTCTTTCTAAGCTCGATTCTTGTGGTTTTAACCTTTTTTCCTTATCTAACAATTAGGAAAACGAAAGAACTGGATGTGCAAGGATTTTGTGCCGAACCCAAAATAACGACGCTTACGTTGCCCCTTAAGGAGACCAGGATACTCTCCACATGAACAACTATACAAAAGAAATGACTTGATGAGTCCGGCCCTGCACACCGGAAAAGCGCTCCAGCTGAGTATATAAACAAAGTTACGGTCACCTAAACTGTAAACAATGCCATTCACAGACAAGTAAACACACGACAGATGGTGCAGTTATGACCAACACACTCAGACAAATATCACATCCAGACAGTTTTGTACTTTAAACCCGAGGATTTCACGTTAAACCGTCAGTGACGTCTGTTTATGACGCTCAGCACTTCTTCGTTATGCTGCTGCTCCTTTCCTGTGTTAATTATTCACTTCTTTCCCCTCCTGCTATCGTCAGACATGCTATGAGACGTCTGGTCACATGTCTGAGCAAGAAGGCTGATGCTAGACTACAAGCTGCCAACGCTCTGACCCTGTAGCTCCTCCGGCGTGGTGCAGAAATCTTCTGAATGGTTACTTAATTGAAGGTGGATTGGTGGGAAAGTACTTTGTACTTTGCTCATTTAATGAAGATTAGAAGAAGATAAGTGTTGGCGACTTTTCAACCTGACACAAACACCGGTTTCATTCCTGAAATAACAGAGAGGTCGAAATGAAGATAAAGCTGTGAACAAACAAAAGGACAGAGCTGACAGTGCAGGTGATGCTGAGGTGAGGGAGGGTCCAGGAGAGACAGAACAACACGGAGAACACACAGAGGTCTCTCATCCCGGGCTTGTGCTGCCCGACTGGGAGAGAGAAGACGACGGATAGCTTTAGCAGATAACAGAAGGCCAGCAAAGAGCAAAGAGGGGAAATGAGCAAAAGGGCTCTCAGGCAGCTATGATGCACTGCCGGGGGAGAGAGGCTGATGAATAATGGATGTTTCTCTAAATAGAAGGAGCGCAGAGCCGCACTCCAGGCGAGCACAGTGGACTGTGAGCTCAGAACTATAATTTAACCTGTAATGTGGACTGTGCAGCAGCAGAAAGCAGCGTGTAGCTCAGGAAGGAGCAGTTTTTACTGCAGGGATAAAAGGAAAAGCATCACTCTAAATACAAGTTCTCAGTTTCTCGCTTGTTTCTTTACACCTGTGCACCATCCATGAGCAGGAAACGCACACACCGGCCCATTCAGAGGATGCTGCCAGTCCTGTGAGACCGACTGCATAACACTCTTACTCCAGGATCGTTTTACAGCAACACAGAAACGAGTCCTGCCCGACATCCTCTTGATCTCTCAGCTAACAGCTGATGCAGAATCTCACGTTCAGAGTCCTGCCAGCGGAGACACATGAGACACTTCAGTCCTCCGCTGGGTATTTGGAAAGCAGATGTGTCTTACGTCAACTTTTCATTGCTTTCACTCAAACAAAAAGACGACCGTGGGAGGATTCGCTGCTTTCAAATCGACGGGTTTAACTTGAACAGCAGAAACCTTCGTGTGTCTCGCTGTCGCTACACGCGCAGAAATTTCCCTCTTTGACTGATGATTGATTTGCTCTCATTAGAATAGAATTTGCATCTCCTGCTCACACTCAGTGAACTCAGATAAAAATAAATGCAATGTAAATATAAATAAATGCATCTTAACTGACAAACATCAGCTGCAGAAAAGCACCAGATTAAATAAAGACAATGATATTTGAACCATTACTCACTGATGAATACATCCGTGTGCGAGTTTCTGTCCCGAGGGAGACAAAACGACGTCTCCACAGCGAACCAGCAACACCAGCAACACAAACATCCCTTTCTAAAACAACACAGCGAGTTTGTGCAAACATCTGAGGACTGTGCAAACGAACGTCTCCTTAATGTTGCCTCATCGCGGACAGTGACTAAACAGTCGTAGTCTGAACTGTCCTTGAACCTCGACTGCAAACCCTTTCTACCACGCACCGCGGAGCGCGCTGCTCCACCCTGACCGCACATCCCAGAAGACAAACGGACGACGCCTCCTTGCGATCCTATCGCCCCGGGCTGGCATGCATGCTGACGTCGTGGTTTTCTCCTTACCCTTGCGTTTGTAGAACCACAGCATACAGCTTCGGAACACAGACATAGGAGAGGGCATGGAGGAGGTGAGAAGGGCGGGGGGCCCATGGACTGTGGCTGGTGACCCTCAAGGAAGGAGGTGAAAGGGGATGCTGGTGGTGAAGTGTGCGGGGTTTTGGTGGTGGCGAAACAGACACAAATGGACAAATGGAAGGGCGGAAATGAACCAAAGTTAGAGGAGGTTAGTTAAAGACCTGGCGGAGTGACAGGGGAAAAAAGGTGTCTGCGGTGTAGTGAACAGGATGGGTCGCTGTCAAAAGGAGGAAGGGGCTGACAGGACGAGGGAGGGGGGCGATGCTGTAGGTGGGAGCCAATCCTGTCCCTACGGAGCGACCGGCTGTTAGAAAGCGAGCGACGGCAGCAGCGGTGCAGCGAAAGGCGAACAGCAGCAAGAAGAGACCTGAGCTCAGCAGTATTCCCTTATTATTCCCAGTGGCTCAACTGCAGAGACACATAAGCAGCAATCTTCCTCTTCAGCTGCAGTGGAGAGGGCTGAAGGGGAAAAAGAAGTCTTAATTGCTTCTTCTGTTCCAAAGGAATCTGTTTAGCTCGCAGTGGAACAAATCTTGTTTACCGAAATATGCCAGTCCAACTTCAGAGCTCGAAGAGGAAGAGAGAAACAGCTCAGACGCTTGCAGCATGCTTTGAGATTGTGTCGATGCCAGTGTGTGCGTGTCTGCTGGCAGCAGAGCAAACCAATCCAAGACGTTAAAAGGCAGGAAGGGGAGAGAGAGGGAGCGAGAGAGCAAATGGACAGCATGGCTGAATGCAAAGCATTCACAGAGGACGATTGGCTGCGATGACTACATAGAGGAGAAGAGGGGGGCTGTAAGAGAGCAGAATGAACCGGGGGGACGCCTCACCTTGGAAATGGAAAGTCTTCTGGTCCACAGTGATGGTGAATGTGCTGTCGTCCTCGTCATCGATGCCGATCACAGCTCCCTGGGCAAACAGAAAGAGAGGAGGGGGGAGAGAGAATGGGAAAAGCAGGCAGTCAGACAGAGACACGTCATACTCCACTTTCCATTTCGATCTTCATGCCCTCAACATGTCCCCAACTGGCTCTCATTTATTAATTAACCCCAGTCATTCTCAGCAGCTCACCCTCTTCTCTAGAAAAGCTCAATTTCCTGTTGACTCGACATCTTTTTCCTCAAAAAATAAAATAAATCACCGTCCCTCTCTCTCTCTCTCTCTCTCGCAGACACACAAAAATGAGTGCAGTCTTTTGGAACATGGTAGAGAAGAAGGGAGGGGAGGAGGTGGGATTTGGGAGAGTGAAGGAGGAGAAAGGCAGGGAAGGGTGGAGAGAGAGAGAAAAAGTACACCAGGGAGCAGCAGCCAAAAAGGAAAAAAAAAGGAACTGCAGAGGAACGGCCTGCTGGCTGGCTGGGGCATTAGCTCCTAGCAACAGAAACAGGGCGTGTGACTCAGAGGTTACTTACACAGCAAATCTCTGTAAGGGGAGAAAACAGCTGTAAAATCTGTTTGTTGACCCCTGAAAAACTCTGTTTTTGACATTTTTAGTCTGTGCCACTGCTTTGAACTGACTTTCAGGGACACGTCTCTGTTCTGAGGGCTTCTGGATTGTACAGTATCTTGTGATGTGGTGTAAACCTGTAATATTACTGGTAAATTAATAATAATTTGTCTTATATTAAAAACTAAATAGTTAAAAAACAGGTCACTGACAAGAGATTCATATTTGTATGCACGTGTCTGGAAATAATGAAACGGATACAGACACCCAGCCCTTATCAAATGTGACAGATCATACCTACAACCCTAAGTGCAGCAAAACTGCATTGCATGCACCAGCCACTTTATTAGGTATACCTGTAATTGCCAAGAGCAGCTCAAAGCATTTGACCGTGTAGATATGATGAAGACAGCCTGCTGAAGTTCAAACCGAGCATCGAAATGAAAGAGGATTTAAACGACTTTGAATGTGTCACAATTGTTGTTGCCAGATGTTGTCTGAGTATTTCAGAAGCTGCTTATCTGCTGGGACTTTCCCACACATCCATCTACAGAGTTTACAGAGAATGGTCTGAAAAATAGAAAATGGGTAAAAAGTATTTAGGAGAGTGCCTCTGATCGTCAAACCGTGAAAGAGATGGGCTGCAGCAGAGACCACACCACGCGCTGCTTCACACCTACTCTTTATTTTTGATTTCTCAGTTAACATAAGATCATTAAAACGGGTGAACATTCATGTAGATTTAGGGGTGATGAACTCCAGGCCTCACGGCCGGTGTCCTGCAGGTTTTAGATCTCACCCTGGGTCAGCACACCTGACACAAATGATTAGTTCATTACCAGGAAGACATGTTGAGGAGGTCATTTAGCCTTTAAAACAGCTGTGTTGGATCAAGGACACATCTAAAACCTGCAGGACACCAGCCCTCGAGGCCTGGAGTTGCCCACCCCTGATGTAGGTGCTAAAAGTTGCAGCCTCAACACTGCATTTAATTCACCGTTAGACTTGAGTAGCTTCACTCAAAGTGTACATAAGCCCACTCACAGTTTTCCCTCTGTAATATTACACTTCTACACTAGGGCTGCCACGATTAGTCGACTAGTCACGATTACGTCGACTA